TAAAAAACTCTTCCAGTGCATTATATGCTCTGCCATTGGAGGAGGCCATTGCTGAGGAATCTTATAAGGAAATATATTTGAAATAATGGCACAATAATGACACAATGGGTCAAGGATTGTCCAGTTTTCTATAGTAGTTGATGCCCTATCAGAAGTTGCTAATGGCAAATGCCAAAACCCTTGGGCATGAAGAGGATATATTTCAACTGAAGGACCACACATTGTACATGAATAGGACACTTCGTTTCAACTTGTATTTCAAATGTGTTATGCTTCTACGTTAGCTTAGAGTAGCCAACATAAACCATAAATCAGTTAGGTGTTCATGTAATACGCCCTATGTCCTAATACTTAGCAGCTGAATTCATATTAAACTATAATAGAGTGTGTTAGATTTAGCACAATATGTGAATTCAAAATCATTTTTATTTTTTTATTTTTTTTATTTGTAAAACGCTTACAAGATAATAGGTATAGGTATAAACATAAGTAAGAATACAGGAAATAGGTACAAATAAATGGGGACAATAGGACAGGGATGGTAGGCACGATTGTACACTTATGCATAGTGTGTAAGTGGTGTATGGTCTAGCACTTTATGTGAATCCAACCAATTGTGACAAATAATCAGTTAATCATGGTTTAATACAGGGGTGTCAAACTCAAGGCTCGTGGACCCGATCCGGCCAAGAAGTGCTTAGATCTGGCCCACGGGGTCACCCTGGAAACAGTGAAGGACTGGCCCACAATGCCTGTCAGCAAAAACAGAGCTCCATTTTCAGTGGCAGAGGGTTGCAGGAAGCCATCGCTCAGAAGCCCATTTTCACTGGCAGAGCACTTGGGCCACCACAAGTGATGTCAAGCTGGCCACACCCACCCTGGTCCCCTGAGGTCAAACACAATCCTAATGTGGCCCTCAATGAAATTGAGTTTGACATCCCTAGTTTATTACAATGTGAACCCAGTAGCTTGTGTGTAATAATGAATGTTTCAAGTAGTGCCCTCTGGTGCCATCTAGCGAAATGAATCTGAGTTGCTCTTCAAGTGTTCCAGCATGAATTGCCCAGCCTTTTCATTGGCAAGGAAGGATTGGCAAGAATCATGTTTCTGTAATGTGGGACTCATGTCTCATGATAGCCATGCTAAATTTGGAATACCAATTTACTAGTGCAAAGCCAATTTGACATGGCTGTCAATGAGATACAAATACTTGTAACATAGTATGCGGCAGACATGTATAAACAAGATAAAGCAGATTTTTAAAAGGCAAAAATTCTATTGGAATACTAGATAAGCATACAGTCTTTCTTAACCTAAATATCACACTTACAGAAGATATAGACAATACCAGTTAATCAACTGAGATGTCTTTTGAATAATACAATTTAAGTAAGAAAGCAGTGAAAATGATTCATTCATGACAACAGAGACATTGTCATGCCCTGTGGGAATCTAATTCCGAGCAGCTGACAGGGAGTGGGAGTGTGGCTTCGTTGGCTGTGGAAGAAACGGGGAAGGGCAAAGGTTGGCTAGGCAGAGCAGGGGAGAGGTAGAGCAAGGGAGAGGGAATTCGGAGGAAGACCTAGGCCTAACCTCTCTTCATCCTAGGGCATGCAGGGAGGAACAGAGAAGGGAGCAACATGAGTTGCGTGGCTTATGGGGGAGGAAAGGGCCCTGATTCCCTTCATTAACTGCAGCTGGGAACAGTGTTTAAAAAGGGAAGTTGCGCATAGCAAAATTGTTGGGGGAAAATCGTGAATTATCTGGTATCATTGAGGCTTATCTGGGTTCCTGGAGTCTTCCCAACTGTGTGTGTTTTTCTGGGTTTTCAGGTCTGCAATTCCTTCTCCTGCCCTGTCAAGTTAATTACTGCAGCATGGTTTGTGTGGCTTTTTATTTACAGTTTGTATGTACTTTGTTTTAGGACTGAATTTCCTCCACTTAAAGACTGTTCTTGGGAGAGTTTTTAATCCAGCCGAAGGTAACCTGGACATTGCGGACAAAGTTGGAGGTATTAAAGGGACACTTCTTGCTTATTTGACTGTGTTGCCCTTATGCCACGCCCTGAGTCCTCACAGACATTGATTTTATAAGTGAGAGAACCAGACATGAAATATCCTAATTTTAACTGAATGAGAAGCTTGACTGAAACGAAGTTTAATCATTTAAATATAGGTCCCTTTTCCTTAAATATCCTACTTTTTAAAAAGGAATAAATTGCTATTAAGCCCCAAATAATAATATTCAAAACTTTCTCCCTTTATAAATGTAGAGGGAGCAGTAATATCAGTATCAGTATCTATGACATGATATTGATATTATTTGCAATGATCAAGCTGCAAATGGAAGGGATTTCTGTGCAAATCTGTTCATCGCAAATTGACTTTTCTCTTGTATACCTAGAATGATAAAGGAGTTATACCATATACCAGCCCTTGGCATTAGACTATGCATTTTGTCAGGAAGTCAGAAAGCTTTCCCAAACCATCTATTCAGTTAAAAGGTTTTCTATTTTGATGATCTTGTAATGATTTGTCTCCATTTGAATATTAGATGCATTAGTTGAGGGTAGAATTATCAACCTTGGCCATTTCTAAGCATATAGACTTCAAATCTCAAATCTCTACAAGACAGCATGTCTATTAATAAGAATCCTGGAATTGAAGTCCACATGGCTGAAAATTGAAAAACCCTTGGAAAGGTATTTAGTTGTTTACCAACATCTGAGTAACAGTACAACTGTTAGCTTACAAAGTCAAGATCTAGTGATTAAGGTCTCTAGTAAACCTTTCCTGATTAAAAAGAAAAAAGGTTTAAAACATTAAAGTAATTGCAATCATATTTAAATAGTCATTTATGACACTGTGGCAGGAAATCAGAGTATGTTTGAAACCAACATGTAAATCTGACTCACACTCGATCCTATACCAGAGTAGGCTAGAAACTCAATATAAATGTCTTAATTTCTTTTCAAGGCACAAAACAGTTAATTTAGTAAAAAGTTATCACTTCAAATGTTGAAATGAACGAATGTTGTTGACAACTCAAAGATTATTTTAAAAACAATCTTGAAAAGGTGATACTAGAAAACATTGTCACTTCTTTTTGTAAAATTAAGGTAAATCTGAGTAAAAATACTTTATGATAGAGAAACCTGCAGGAAAAAGTCAACAAATTCAGGAATGAGATACTTGGCAGTTTAATAATCACTGCTTTAAAAACATCACGTGAACAGAATCCTTCCTAAATATAATTTTCGAAAAACATCTAAACAGTGACTGCCATTACATGGAATCGCAAGGGTGTCAAACTCTGGGTCCATGGGTTGGATCTGACCCAAGGAGTGCTTAGATCTGGCCCACACATGACCCTCCCAAGCTCTGTTTTCACTGGTAAAGAGTTGCAGAAGGATCCCCTTGAGCCCCGCCCAGGCCACCACAGGTGTTCTCGACAGGAGTGATGTTGAGCTGGCCACATCCAACCTGGCCACGGCCACCCCAGATCTCCACAAGGTCAAACATAACCCTGATGCGGCCTTCAGTGAAATTGAGTTTGACACCTCTGTGTTACAGCAAACTTAATCCTTTTAATGACTGAAATCTATAGCTGGAATGCCTTCTTCCAGACTACTTTCTACAACATGGAAGAAGTCCAGATCAAAAACATATTTACTGTACAACTCCTCCTCCAACCACTCCCAAAGGCATCTCCATCTAAATCTGAAATAAAGTTAAGAATTTGGTTTTATTGCTTTTAATCCCTGAACAATTTTGCCACCAGATTTCAGCACTGGAAGTCCTAAGAGTTTTAAATAAAACTATTTCAGCATGTTTATGTTCTTTTTTTAGAAAAAAATGGGAAAAACATGTTCCCAGTCCAGGTATGCCTCATAAGAGCTTTTACCCTTTTTTAAAACAAGATATAGGTCTACAGAATATACTGTTTACATGTGGTATGGTTTAGGCCTTGGGTATGAGCTATGTCAAAGCAATGAGCTGGGAAAAATGACCTTTTTTTTCAGCATACAACCTTGATACAATAGTTGAAGCTTTGTGCAGTTGTCTTGTATCATGATATATTTAAAATAAGCACCTGTATGCTTCTAGACAAAAACTGGGATATAGTAGTGATACTAAAATACTTTATAATACTTTAAATATGGGATTTAGTAGCATTACTTAAGCATTGCTATTGCAATTTTTTTTTCCACAATAGCAGAAATAACATGAGCCGTGGGCTAGCAGGTTCAAGCAATTTTATAAATACTATAAAATAAGATGATCAATTTGTCTCTAGGAAATACGATTCTGCGGTTCAAAGCAGACCTAATGTTGACTCAAAAAGCCATTATTATTTATAAGTATCATAAAAATGTGTGGCAGAAAAGCTGTCATTGATAGATGCCTTCTTGTTTAAAAAGTATTTTTATAATAAAGTTTCAGAAAGGAAGGAAAAAAACTTATGATGGAAAAATATTAAGATTTTTAAAACACAGAAGATGTTACAATTGGCCCTATCTTATGTGGGATATGATTTTAATTTGTTCAACACCATCACAAGATAGAAATCTTCCAAAATGTTGGATGGTCATTTGCTCTAATGACCAACCCATGGACTGGATGCATAATGCGCTGGCCATGGTTGAGTGAAGGGGGAAAAAGTCCCTATACGTCACATGATGCTGCTGTGACGTGAGTTTGAAAGCCCTGCTCTAATGGATTCTGCACTGAGGAGGATGGAGTAGATGACCCCTAAAATGCCCCTCAATTCTATAATTCTATGATTCTAACAGAAAACAGCATCAAAACACATTTGGAAAGACACAGGTTTGTGCTCTTGGATTAGATAAAGGCTGGTCTCAAGTATTGCATTAAAATAGTCATTTAACCATGGTATAAATAATGAGTTAGATTTACATTACATGCTAGACATAACACAATAGATGGGTTCACACAAAACAGTGATGCAAACCAATAACTTAATGTGATATGTGATTTCAGACAGAATGTACTCTTGATTCCAACAACTGTCAACTGTCATCTTGTGAATTCTATGTACAGGAAGGAAAGCTAAGAACTGCAATCAGAGGTCCTCTCAAAGTAGCAATTCTATTTATTTATTTATTTGATTTGATTTGTCAATTGCTTACAAGATAATAGGTATAAGCATATACATAGTTATAAATACATGAAATGGGTACATATAAGAAAAATAAAAGAAACAATAGGACAGGGACGGTAGGCATGTTGGTGCGCTTATGCACGCCTCCTACAGACCTCTTAGGAAAGGGGTGAGGTCAACAGTAGACAGTCTAAGGTCAACAGTAGACAGTTAAGGTTATCTACTCTTCAACTAGTCTGGTTACTTGATGCTGACAAAATAATAAAGTTATAAACTGTATGAACAAACGTACTGGTGACCATCTCCCAATCAATGTTACATTAATTTAACGCTGGCTGCAACATCCTTTCTTTTGAAATTAAGAAACAGAATAATTTTCAATTATACCAATTATAGAATATATTGTAATCTGGGAGCTCTACTAAACAAAGCTTTAGGAAATTATATCTGCTCATCTCAAAACAGCAACTGTTCATTTGCATCAGACTTCAATTAAGATAGGTTTGCAGTATTCAAAATTATCACTTTTTTATTAAAAAAAAGTCAGTTTACCATTTGATAACATTTCAAAAGATGAATATCCAATCAAATTTATGTATGTGCAATAAACATTTCATTAAAAGTCAGCTGTAACCATCTCCCGCTCCAGAAAAGTCAATTCCAGAGATTTTTAAAGCGATGAATTAATATACCAGTCAAAATGACAACTAAAGCCAAAAAACACACAGTTACCAAATGAAAATGTTTTCCTAGATGAGCCCCTGTGAGGATAGAAGACTGTTTAATTTGATGCTACACTTTCGTTGAAAGTCCTATAAGCAGCATTTCACAGTGTAAACGCTCTTGTGTATGTTTGCTCAAATGGAATTCATTAATGAGAAATAAACACAATAGTGACAGCTCTGTTTTGGGGGGAAAAAGTGCTCAAAAGAGCACATGGGCTTTCCATTTTATTATGTTTAGAAAGATTTCTGCTTCTTTAGTGTAGTATAAATAACTATCCACCCCCACATACATACACCATTGAGAAGGAAAGGTCTCCTTGATCCCACCTGAATTCGGGATTAATTATTCAAATATAAATTTTCTCAGTAATTTAATATGGTTGTAATAAAATGTTCATTTAAATGTCTTGCTTAATATTCCTATCCTATTATTTTCTCTCACAAGTCAAGAACGTGTGTGTGTGAGAGAGAGAGAGAGAGACAGAGACAGAGACAGAGAGATATTTATAAATGCAAGACAATGTAATCCAGAGGTTTATCTGTACATCTGTGATGAACTTTTTAGAAACAAAAATCAGTTCTACAGTATCAACATTTGAAAAATAAATCTTAAATGTAGAACTCACAATTGACTTTTGAACAAAGAATTTACTGCAGAATAGTGATTTTTTTGATCTGAGGAAGAATACAAGTTCTCAAATAACAATCATGTAGACTAGATCTGTCTGAATTGCCTCGATGTGGCCATTCAACGATCTAGAAGCATTTTTTTCTGCCTAGAAAAGCAAAGCAAAGCAAAGTGAAGTCAGCTTCATCTAGCGGTTAAGGTTCTGGCCTAGAAACCAGGAGACTGAGTTCTAGTTCCACCCTCATCATGAGCGTCAGGTGGGTGACTTTATGCTAATCACTCTCTCCCAGCCCAAATCACCTTTTAGGCTGTTGGGGGAAAACAGGAGGAGTATCACATATGTTTGCCACTTTGCATTACTTATAAAGTAATAAAGGCAGGATAAAAATATTTTAAGAAAAGCACCTTTTGGAAGCAAGATACTCAACTTCAATAAAGAGTCAATGCAGGACTGACACCCTCCCACTTCCCCCAAAATCAGATAACTCACTTTGAAAACTGAGGCACAATGTGCACAAATTCCTGCTACTCAGAGAAGACCACAACTGTTTCACTCCACTAATTATAAATGAGCTGCCATTTTCCTGCAGAGCATTCCTTCAAATAATTGTTTCATTCAAAGCTTAAGTGCGCCTGCAAAAATTTGTCAGCACTATGATAATACTATTTCTTCCATTTATCCAAGAACAAAATTCAATATATCATATGCAATTATGCAATTCTGTATGCCCTTATGCAACAAGAACACAATTCCAATCTGACATTAGTATATTTAGATTGGATTTATTTGTTTTTATTGCATTTTCAATCAATGAACCACAAATCACATTTGAGTTTTATGGCAACATACGAATCCAGCCAACAATGATGTAAACTATCTGATGACTGTGCAAGACTTTTTTTCTTCTTTGTAATCAATTTAAATACAATTATAATTTGTTTCTCAAAAGAACTCTTTCTATTGAATCAGGGTCCCATTATTTTTCTTATTATATCCATTATATCCATAGATACAATTTTCTACCTATTATTTGAATTTCTTAAAATTAAACTGGAATGAAGGAATATCATTGTAATAAATCTGATTTAGTCATCTGAATTCAGTATGACTTTGTAATAGAGTCTCAAACATTCCAAAGTTCAGCTGCATTGTATACAGTAAGACTAAAGGAATGCCGTAAAAACATACCTTAATCCTAGCAAAGTATCTGATCATGTCCTGTGTTAGGTCAGACATGATACCCCTATAACTAAGGTGGAAAAATTTGGGATGGCTGTTTTATAGTCCAGACTATTTGAAAATAGTTAAACAAGCAACCCCAAAGATACTTATGATTTTATATTGTATTATGAGCCTTGGTGGCGCAGTGGTTAGAGTGCAGAACTACAAGCTACTTCTGCTGACTGTCAGCTGCATGCAGTTCGGCAGTTCAAATCCCACCAGGCTCAAGGTTGACTTAGCCTTCCATCCTTCTGAGGTGAGTAAAATGAGGACCCAAAATTGTTGGGGGTAATATGCTGACTCTGTAAACCACTTAGAGAGGGCTGTAAAGCACTATGAAGTGGTATATAAGTCCAAGTGCTATTGCTATTGCTATTAGAGGGAAGTATCAAGTAAGGCTACTCTATGGTTTTATTTTTGGCCCAGTGCTCTTACATATCTTTAAAAATGATTGAGAGAATAGAATGGAAAGGTTTCTTATCAAATTTGCTGATGACACTAGCTGACAGTAATCTGTAAATATGAAAAGACTATCATGTGCAAGAAGAGATATTCCTGTTCTTTGTTGACTGGGAGAGCAGGATAAGATTGAAATTAAATGAAAAGAAATGCAGTTGAATATTACAAGGAATTTTTCCCCAAAGAGCTGTTGAACAATGGAACGTTTTGTCTAAAACAATAGTTAACCTCCATCACCCACATTTTTGAAATAGAGGTTGCACAGCCACCTGTTAAGGCTGGTTTACTAAATCCCTACACTAAGAACTCCTCAAATTCATACATCATACATTCGGTGTATTTTAAATTAATGAGACATTCTTTATTGAATAATCAGTAGTACGTCCGCCTAGTTTTGTCTCGGCTAAGAAGGATCCATTTGGTTATTGGCAAACTAAAAAATAATAGGAGGATTTTAAACTAGATTGAGAATGTTGTAGAGCGATGGTAAGGAAGAGGCATGAGACCAGAGCGTACAACTAACAGGCTTTATTGCAAAGAATAAAGGGTTGTCGCGTCTGCTTGCTAACTTGCAGACCAGCGGGCGACAACAGCTGGCTCTGCTCGACAGCCGGCTTATATAGCCAGCTGTCAAACGGAGCCAACCAATGGGAGCTGCTGGTGCTCCCGCTCAAACAGCGGACCTGGTTGGGGACCCCAACCAGTTCCACAGACATAACACCCCTTTCCCCCAGCTGGGAACATGCGTAGTCCAGTAGATACGAGGGTTGTCTTCACTGGCGACCAGAACGTCGCAGTTCGGGTGAACTGTCGGCCGGTGTCAAGTTCTGGTCTTCGGAGCGTGCCTTGGCGGTCGTCGGGGCGTGGGTTTGCCCCGGCGTAGTGTCCTGTGGTGCTGATGAAAACCCCTGCTCAGGTTGGCCCGGCTGAGTCTCGAGGTCTGGCTGGTCAACTGGGTCGCTCGGTGGTTGGAGTGGTGACTCTGGCCGGAAACTCGGGTTCTCCCGCCAGTCCTCTCGCTCGTCAGGGAAAACCAGGTTCTGCAGGGGATCCGCGTCAGGCACTGGTGAGGCGACGTTGGCGCTTGCAGGTTGGCATGGGTTGGTATCTGTTGCGCCCTTCCGCCGCCTCCTGAGTTGATCCACGTGTCTCCGCCACAAACGCCCATCCTCTAGGAGGATCCTGTAGGACCTGGGACCTGTGACTGACACGACTTGTCCTGGCACCCACAACGGATCCCCCGCGTAGTTCCTGGCGTATACCAGGTCTTGTGGGGCGAAGTCTCTGACCAGACTGTCGGACCCTAAGGGGGTGTCTGGGCAGTAGTGGGGGTGTAGCCTGTCCAGGGTGGTTCTAAGACGTCTCCCCATTAGGAGTTCGGCAGGAGATTTGTTGGTGGTGGTGCATGGCGTTGTGTGCTGGCTGAGCAGGAAACGAGACAGTTTAGAGTGCCAATCCTCCTGGCCAAACCTGGCGAGTGCCTCCTTGGCTGACCTAACTGCTCTCTCTGCCATCCCGTTGTTGATGGAATGGTGCTGTAAGGACGTGTCTGATGCCCAAGTTAGCAGTGTACATGCTGAATTCACACGATGTGAACTGTGGGCCATTGTCTGAAACCAGCGTGTCAGGAAGCCCGTGGGTGACAAATAGACGGGTTAGGGCCTTAACTATCGCCTGGGTGGTGGTTGTGGGAAGTAAGGCTACATCAATCCACTTGGAGTATGAATCCACGACCACCAAGAAGGTCCTGCCATGTACAGGCCCAGCCAGGTCGATGTGCAAGCGGGACCAAGGGGTGTTTGCACTCTCCCATCTGGTGGGCGTGGCAGCTGGAGGGGCAGCCCTGGTTTGTTGGCA